TTTTTTTGACAGAACACAGCCATGTCACAAACAGTCAGTTTTCCCTCTCTTCTACATTGCAATTCAAAAAAAGTGAAGTGGTCGATTTGATATGTTCATTACAAAGCATTTTATAAGTAAAAAAATTATGCACAGACATAATCTACAATAGGGAAACAAACTGGTGATATTTAGATAGAATAATTTTAAAAACATATAATCTCTATTATAATAATAGTAATACCAATAAAAATACAGGACTTATATACTGTATCTGCATCTTAAGGTGAAAACACACTTCTCTGTTACTGCAAATTAGGAAACAATGACTCTACTAAGTGGGTCTTCCTTTTTTTTCTCCTTTCGAACTGAAACTGTAAACATTTAAAGGCGTTATTAAAGAATTACATTTCTGTGTGCCCAACCAAACACCTATGATAAAATTTGTTTAGCAATGTTTATGGCTCTGTAGTTCCCAGTATTGTATACTGAATAATTAATATGTTAAGTTTTGGGTGACGTGGGTTAAAAATGTTATAACTGGAGGATATGGAAAGACATCTTGAAAATATTATCTTCTTGTCAGAGGTTAATAAACTAGAGATGGCCATTCAGCCCATCTTAATAAATGCTGCTGTTAATTAAACAGAACAAAAGAACAATTATCAAACACACTTCATCCAAATCAACAACAACTTCTTCTGTGACACAAGTGGCAGCACAGTACAAAGGTCATATAGGGTGTAATTCTCTTTGTATGTGGACAAACATAACATTTTTTTTTTACTTTTAGAAAAAACCTCCACATTCAATGTGATTCTGATTAAGAAATTAAATTCAATCCCCGATTTAACAGATCAAGAACCTTTAGGACATGGCTGTTTAAAATAACTTTTGTGGTCACCTTTGAAGTGGGTTTATAGATCTCTGGATTTGAATCTCCTCCGTAATGACAAACTAGGTGATGATAGGAAAATTGAGAAGATAGACATCAGAAACAGCTCCTGACTTTCCAATGGGATTCTTTTATAATAAATCATGGTCTTGGCCTTTGCCCCCAAAGAGGAGACTATCTTAATGCAAAAGGATTTCAGACAGGACAAATTTTAAGTGCAAAGCACTAAGATAAGTTCAATGGATGTACTTAATAAAAAGCAAGAGTTGCTCAAAAACAAAAATACATTCTTTTTAAGGCAAAAAATGCACTTGTGCATTCTAACATTTAATACATCTTACACAATCCAATTTGGTTTATTAGGTGTCTGTTTTTTAATCTCTCCATTACATTGTGTAATGTTAAATTTTAGGGATTAGCAATGAACAGCACATCACGTTTCTTCAGCATTTTCATTTTTACAGCATTTTATTTCTTACCTTTCATAAAACATTAGACGCTTCGAGGAGAATTTTACCGAGCATATTTTACTTTCTAATATGCTGATTATTTTTGGAGTAAATACCAACTTTTCTAAAAGCTAAATTGCATGCTTACCAGCCTACAGTATAATGTATCCTGAAGTGCACATGTCCACTCAAGGAGCCCTCTTTGAGCTCGTGACCAATATGTTTTGAGTCAATAAACTTTGAGTACCAGCCACTGTCAATCTCGGATGCATTAGGAGTCATTTTGGCTTCTAAAGCCCTTTTATGTTCTTAACACAGCAAATGGAAATCTCACATGGTAGAAAACTTGAAGGACTGAAAATATAATTGGTGGTATAAAATAAAAACAGACACTCAGAGGACTCTAAGGAGTCTCAGAACTCCTTTTTGAGCGTGTCTTTAATCTAAAAAAAAAAAGGGGAAAACAACAAACATGAGGTGCGACTGGGAGGGTCCAATGGAAAAGAACTTGCTGCCCTCAGCTTCCAATTGAAGGCACTGTGTGGAAAGTGAGTCTAGATTGTTAATTCCCAAGTCAAAAGAGCCAGAGCTCACGTACCAAAATGACATGTGTATCACTAAACTGCCACATAGCCCGGTGGAAGGCTTTATGCATTGAAGAGACAAAGGAAAAGGTTTTCACAACTGGGCAAAGCAGAAACATCGCAGAAGGTACCTTCAGGGCTTTCAGGCCTAATGGTGGGGCAATATTCTCACCGCACTGTGTGTTTAGGTCTATGATTTGGCTGGGACAGCTTTCGAAGCACGGGCTAATTAAGATTTTCGTGTGAAGCAATTTTGATGGCGTGAAGCGTGTTGGTATCTTACATCTGAATTTTAGAAATGTCACCTCAAGGAGTCTTTTTCTTAGCACAGTCCTCTGAGCATACAGTATACAATTTGGCAGACTATGAAGAGGAGGAATCAAGTGCAGAGCACGGTCACAGATACAGTAAAACAAGCGGCAAGTATAAAAAGAAATTATTAAGTGTGGATTTTGCTTGCATGTGCCTAACTACAGTATATTGGGTATACAGTATTAACATACAGTAGGCTATACTTACATACAGCATCTTGGCTAGTTTTTAATAAAGAGATCAAGTAAAAGAAGATGTCCCAGTGAATAAATGAATTAACAGTGAAATGTGTGGAAACGTGTTGCATC